ACCCCCCCTGCATCCCACTCACCTTGTCCCCCGGCAGCCCCACGGGACCCTGGGGGCCTGGCAGCCCCTGTGGGAGAAGGGATGCTGGGAGAGGCTGGAATGGGATCGGGAAAGCGGCCGAGCTCCCCATCCCGGGGGGCTGCCTCCCGGTACCTGCGTGCCGGGGTTGCCCTGTTGTCCCGGGGGTCCCGGTTCCCCATGGATCCCCTGCGGAGGGCAGAGAGATCCCGTCATCGGGGCGGCAGATCCACCCGGAGCTGCGGCCGCATCCCGGAGCAGCAGAGCCGCATCCTGATCCCACTGCATTCTGCATCCCCCCTCGAGTGGGAATGCAACCCCCCGGGTGGGAATGCACTCCTTCCCAGGTGGAAATGCACCCCCTCCCGAGTGGAAATGCAACCCCTCCCAGCTGGAAATGCAACCCCACGGATGGAAATGCAACCGCACAAGTGGAAATGCAACCCACGGATGGAAATGCAACCCCACAGGTGGAAATGCAACCCCTCCCAGGTGGAAATGCAACCCCCTGGGTGGAAATGCAACCCCCTGGGTGGAAATGCCCTCCTTCCCAGGTGGAAATGAACCCCCTCCCGAGTGGAAATGCAACCCCTCCCGGCTGGAAATGCAACCCCACAGGTGGAAATGCAACCGCACGGGTGGAAATGCAACCCCCCGAGTGGAAATGCAAACCCATGAGTGGAAATGCACCCCTCTCCTGGTTGGAAATGCAACCCCTCCCAAGTGGAAATTCACCCCCTCCTGGGTGGAAATGCAACCCCCTGAGTGGAAATGCAACCCCATGGATGGAAATGCACCCCTTTTCGGGTGGAAATGCACCCCATTGGTGGCAATGCACCCCCTCCCGTATGGAAATGCCCCCCTCCCATCTCCCTGCACTTACCCTGTCCCCCTTGGGACCCATGTCCCCCTTGAAGCCAGGGAATCCGTCTTCTCCCTGGAATTGGGTGCAGGTCGGGGGGGCCGGGAAGGGCTGAGCCCCATGGAAGGGGGGGCCCCCATATCTGCCCCCCTGGCGCCCCTCACCTGCTCCCCCTTGTTGCCCTTGAGGCCGCGGGCTCCGAAGGCTCCCTGTGGGGATGCAGAGGGATATAGGGGCATCCCGATGGGAATTGGGGACCCCCTGGAGCAGGACCCCGCTCACCTTCACCCCGCGCGGTCCTGGGTAGCCAATGGGTCCGGGGGCACCTTCAGGGCCCTGGGGACAGAGAGTGTCGGCAGAGCTGGGAATGGCCCCATCCCGGAATGCTCCGAGCCCTTCCCGGCTCCTACCTGCAGCCCCTTCTCTCCGGCTGGTCCCTCTCGGCCGGGATGACCCTGTAGGGATGTGGGAATGCTGAGGCCCCCCCCCCGGGCATCCCCGCTCCCCTTCGGAACATGGGATCCCCCC